ATGATCAATGCACTTGCTTTTTTTTCTCAAAAGACAGAAGGAAATATCCAACACCACTAAGTATGGTCAAAAACAATAGAAACAGAGGATAAAACAAAAATTAGAAAACGATTAATACATAAATTTATGCGAATCCAAATGCAAATTCACAAAAAAAAACATCATTGTTATATCATTGATATGACATGCAATTTATCATGCAAGCATTCGGTTTGGCAAACATGAATTATGTACGAACAAACATGTTGGATTAAATTTGGTCGTCTGCTGAACGATATGAGATATAGCCGTATTTGGAAGCAATTTCTGTGGAGATTCATGTATATTTTACATTGTGAAGAAAATCGAAATCTCCAGAACGTAGGCGAGAAAGTATGGGCCCCGAGAGTGCCGGTGAAATTCTACACATTCTAACACAAAAATAGGAATGGCAAGATATAGCGCCACCCAGATGAAAAAGGCAACACTAAAATAAGCAAGAACCCCAACCACAGACTAATATTTTATTATACGTTGTTCCTAGGCAACTATAGATGACAGTCTCATATAACCTAGGACAGGCTACATCAGGCCAAAAATCTATTTTGCTGGAATAAGAAATGAAATGAGTAACGAAACTAATAGCAATGTTCTGTGGAAGACCTATGAACCCAAGGGGAGTGACAAGAAAAAAATTATATGATATGGAGTAAAGTTTTTTCAAATTATTTTTTTTTAATATGAAATGCATCGGAAGCACATTGTAATGACCTACCCCGGCATCAACCCATGAGAATAATACAAAATGAGAGTAGCTGGATATAGCGACACTCAGAGGATATTGACAAAATTTAAATAAGCAAGAACACAAACTACTGCACAAAAATCAATGAGGCATTGTTTCTAGGCAACGATAGATGGCGGCTCCCTATCACCTAGGACAGGCAACTGCAGACCAAATATCTATTTACCTTGTATAAAACCTAAAGTTGGGTCGTTTCGGAACACCAATTGTTTTGGTGACATCTCAATCGGAGTGCAAATAGTACTTCAAGGAAGTGCATAAATCATACTGATAAATATTCACAAACCTTTGAGGGAACACCTTTAGAAGTACTTTGAGGGGTATTCTATTACAGGAAGGTCTTCAGTAAGATCATTGAAGATCATTGAAGTATACTTCATTTAGATAATTACTGAGAGATCTCCTACAGAGAATAGATCTATAAGATATCTTATATCACTAGAAACTTTTGAGAAGGCTAATATAGCTACAAAATCTTTGAGAGAACTTCGTAGATAAAAATATTATATATTAGACAGGTCTTCAGTAGCAAAAAGATTGTCATATAATACCTTTGAGAGGCATTCCATATCTAGAGGATCGTCCAGAGATCTTTTGTAGTTAGAAGACATTCGAGGGGATTTTTATAACTAGAAGACCATTGAGAGATTTTCTACAACTAAAATACCTTTGGTAGGTATTCTATAATTAGAATACTTTAGAGAATCTTTTAAAGCAGGAAGAAATTTCTTTTAATTTGCATGTTAATATTGGTTGTCATCCTCTTTGCACATTCATTCGTCTTTAATTTGGACTAGCTCTACAATTCCGCATATAATTGATATGTAAAGGAGAAGCTACCATCACAGAACCCAAAAGGCAAGTAACAGAAGTCGAATCGCATATATGATACCATACCCGAAATGACATTCCGTAGTACTTTGAGTGATAGTGGCAATGCTGGCTGTGATAGCATTGCCACCTATGCTACACCCATCTTAAACGCGTGGTTCTTTTAGTCCTCTATCCTCGGATAGAAATGTGTTTGTCGTTAGAGGGTCCTGTTTCGGTATAGATGACAATGCTGTTATGGTAGAACAATCCTTTGATCTGACCTTTTGAGACATCTTCTGGAAAATCAGATATATGTATTATATTGGGTTTGCGACAGACAAATATACCCATAGCTGTAAGGCGAAGGCAATTATCGAAGGTAGTTCGAACACACTGATTTCGGCATCGATAACAATCATGGTGGCACCACCTCCTACTTACTTAGCTGGCATGTGACAGAACATTTGTTCAATAAGCCGAGCTAAAAAAAAGATTTACATTCGCGTCGGTTTGTTCGCAGCTTTTCCAATTTTAAAAGACCATGCTCCGAGATCTTGTTTTCCACTTGACCTTTCCATCGTATTCGTGGCCTTCCCCTTCTGCGTGAACCATCAGTTGGGTCGCTTTTATATGCCTTTTGAGCTGGGAACATCCGCATCCATTCTCACAACATGACCTAGCCAAGGTAGTCGCTGCATCTCGATAAGTCTGTCTATGTCAAAGTCCTAGACGTTCATTCGACGGCGATATTCACCATCGACGTAGATCGGCCCACAGATCTTTCGGAGAATTTTTCTCTTAAACACTCCTGGAGATGCTTCATCTGCTTGCGCAAGTACCCATGTTTCTGATCCATACAACAGCACCGGTAGTATCAGCGTCATGTAGAGTGTGAGTTTAGTCTGGAGATTTGTTTTATTTATGGCGGAATCAAGGTATAAAATATCGTTCACTACCCTGAAGCTGTAGTTCTCAAATTCCACAGTTGATCCGAGTCTACTGGACGTCTTGCGAGTTGATACCATCAGCATGGTCTTCTCGACATATACTCCGTTGCAACCACTTTGTCAGACTCCTTCTCAATTTGCTCAAAGGTGGCTGCTAACCCACGCAATGTTCGACCCATCATGTCGATGTCGCCGGCATAGGCGAGTAACATGTGTTACTCAACTATGCTGTGTAAAGAGTGCCATTTCGTTCACCTTTGCCTCTCGTATGACCTTTTCCAGCAGGATTTTAAAAAGGTCACACGACAAACTGTCACCTTGGGTTCCGAGAGGCCCTTTCCGAATTTAACTGCTGACCTAGTGCCGGTTAAAGTTATCCTACATATCCATATTAATTGTCCAGGAATGCAGAACGAATATGGCGTCGAATGCGGCTTTATAGTCGAAAAATAGGTGGAATTTGTCGATGTGTATTTCGTGAGTCTTTTCCAGGATTTGGCGCAGAGTGAAACTCTGGTCAATGGGGGGTTTGCAAGGCCTGAAGTCGCATTGGCATGGTCCAATAATGTCATTGACCATTGGCTTCAGTCGTTCACACAGCACAGAGGATAACACTTTATATGCGATGGGAAGAAGACTAATTTCTCTATAGTTGGCACATAGCGTCTTGTCTCCTTTTTTGTGCACAGATGATGAGGTTCCAATCATTGGGCATGCATTCCTCTAGCCAAATTGTACTGAATAGTTCAGCCGGTAACCCATCGACTCCTGCTGCTTTATTATTCTTAAGCCGATTAATTGCTGTTCTGAGCTCATCTTGGCTAGATGGTATACATTCTATACCGTCATCTTTTATTGGTTCTGGGGTATCTTCTTCACCGCCACTATTTGATACCATAAATTTTTCAAAATGCTCCTTCCAGATCCTCAACACGCTGTGTGTATCTGTCATCAGGTTTCCTTCTTCATCTCTACAGGAAGATGTGCCTTCGGTTTGGTGTTTTACGCCTTGGTAAAATTTTCGGACTTCATTCTGACTCCTGTGCATCTCGATTTTGTATTTATTATATAAACAGAAGGTCTTATAGGTCGCTAAGTTTACGACATCAGAATATATATATATATATATATCTTATTCATATGTTGAAGGGCAAATAAACAAGAAAAGTCCTCTCTCTCTCTCTCTCTCTCTCTACAGCAAGATACAACAACATCGTAGGTAACTCCGAACACAGTGCTATCGGTATCGCTCCCAAAAATTTATTTGGGTTATTGGTGTTTTGAGTGCTAGTTGCAATGCTGGCATTGGCTCCTTTGGTACCACCACAACTACTGAACGTTTTTTCCATAGTAGGTGTCCATCGTCCTCAGACAGTATTTTTCAGGCTCTTATGCTGGTGTAGAGGCCAATGCATTTGTACAGTATGGTATATTTTCCCTTTAACCCTAAAGTATGACCTTGAAAACATTCTTAAACATTTTTCGATTTTATATTAAATTTCTCAAGAATAGGTTTTTTATCTCTATGACTACCACAACAGGAAATTTGTAAACAAAAATTAAATTACAGCGAAAAAATAATAATATAAAAAAATTAATATTATGTAACAAAGGTCAAATAATATGTTAACATATCATTTTAGAAAAAAAAATACAACAAAAATAAAAAAATGTAATTTTGAAAAACATAAAACACGGAATCCCCTTGGTACGTTTGTCTGCTTCATACCCCAAGCAAACCCCTTAGCTAATGATTCAGCTGGGCCAATTAGAGGAAGACCTAAGCAAAAGATAATTCATAGTAACAAAATCCCCTTTAGATAAAGAATCAAAAAAAAAAGAAGTAGAAGAAGAAGGAAAACAAAAATAATGACAAAAATCTTGACATACGAAACACGTCAAAGCTGAGATTATCTGAAAACAAAATATTAGAAACCAAATACTTGTTTTAGACGAAAATGGTAACTATTTTTTGTGTTCAAAACTGCGGGGTATGTTTTTTTTTCTTCAAGATATTAACACCAGACATGCTTGGATTTTTTTCTTTTGTTTCGAATTTAGTTAGTAATGCTTGTTTACCGAGAAAATTAATTGATCAATTAATAAAGCAAAAAATTTAAAAAAAAATCCAGCAGTACCCCCAAAGAGATTAAAATTAGACATGGCAACATCAACAACAACAACAAAATAGTTGTAGAGGAAACCCTCACAACTAACATGAAATTATCCGACAGCTCAGAGCATCTTTGAAGGGGATGGATAATTTGCGTCGAACAACAAATTTGGCTACTCTTCGTTGTTGTCTGCAAATTATGTTTTTTCGGAATTGACCTCTCAGAGAAAAGTTTTCTGGCTATGCTGACTATAAAACGGTTGGTAATTCAAAACCCAAACATCAGTTTCGAATTACATTTGGAAATTAGCATTTCTTGTTGGGTGAAACGAAAAAGGAAAAAATGCGTTTATTTTTGGTAAATAAACTGGAGCAAACTCTGAAGGATTACGCGATTTCTAACGGATATATTTTTTATTAAAATTTTAGACTTTGTGTTCCTTGGCTGCTGTGGCTTTGGCTAAGCCCCAATATAACTATGGCACTGGGGTGTCTGGTACCTTTGGCAGCTCGGGTGGAAATTTGGGCGCCATTGCTGGTGGTAATTTTGGTACCAGCTCCATTAGTCGTGCTCCTACTCCTGGCTCAGCAGCCATAAGTGGTGGAAGTTCCTCCTTTGGTTCGTTGGGAGGTGGTTCCAGCTTTGGTTCCACTACTCATGGCAGTGGCTCCAGCTTCAGCTCTGGCCCCTCCTTCAGTTCTGGTAGTACATTTGGTAGCAGTGGTGGCTCGAACTTTGGTAGCTCCAACTTTGGTTCCAGTGGTGTATCGAACTTTGGCTCCAGCTCTTCTGTTTCTGGTGGTCATGCCGGTTTCGAGGCTCCCTTGGTGCACAAACAATTCATCACTGTCTCAGCTCCCGAGGATAATGAACGCTTGGAAATGACCAAACATTTGGTTATTGGTCGTCCACAAAAAAATTATCGTGTCGTGTTCATTAAGGCTCCCTCATCCAGCAATGCCAATGTTAAATTGTCGGCCGAATATGCCCCACAAGAAGAAAAGACTGTCATTTATGTTCTATCGAAGAACGATAACAATTTGGAAGTTAGTGATATTGCCACCCCAGCACCCACTGTACCCAGCAAACCTGAAATCTTCTTCATTAAATACAAGACCGAAGAAGAGGCTCAACATGCCCAAAGACAGATTCAAGGTAAGTTTGGAGGAATCCAATAAAATATAGTAAATTAAAAATAACAAAAATTCTCTCTTTATAGCTGAATACGACAAAATCGAAGGCAGTTCCGAACACACTGATGCCGGCATCGCCCCCCAACAATCCGTTGTTGGTATTTTGGGTGATAGTGGCAATGCTGGCAGCGGCAGCACTGGTGGTAGCATTGGCTCCTTTGGTACCACTACCTCTACTGGTGGTTCTTTCGGTAGCAGTGGTCTTTCATCCACAGGCAGCATTGGTTTTGGCACCACTGGCTCTGTTGGCAGCACCACCGGCAACAAGGCTTCAGCCTACCTGCCACCCACTACAACTGTTTAAACTATTTGCTGGTCATTAAAAAGAATAGTTGGTCCAAATGTTAAATTTTGTTAAAACTGAACTGATTGAAATAAACGAAAATACTCAAATATTTTTTTTTTTTTACTTTTATGATATTTTAAAAATTAACAGGTTCTCAACCCATTCGAAATCTGAAACATATGAAATTATTATTATATAAAACAAACCTAGATCCTTAAAACATTATTTAAAATCAGGCAGAACAGACAGAACTCAAACCTATTTCGACTTTTACGATTTTTTGAAAATCAACAGATTCTCAACCCATTTAAAATGGTTTTCAACCCATTCAAAATCTGAAACATATATAATTATTTTGAAAAATGGTCTAGAACCTAAAAACATTATTTAACATCGGTCTGAAAAATTATAAAAGTGCCCAAATGGTCAATTATAATCATTTCAGTTGGAAAAATCCGTTACGAAGTATTGGACTTCGAAAAATCATTACCATATTGCCCGATTAGTCGTTAATTTTGTTAATCATTCTTATTCCAGCTAAGTAACTGATTGGTTCACTGTAGGCTGTTTTAGGTAATGAGGCTGCCATCTATCGATGCCTGGAAACAACGCCTCCTTCATGTTCGGCCAGTGGTTGGGTTCTATGCTTATTTAGTGTTGTCATTTTCCTCTGGATGGCGCTATATACTATATGAAAAGGGCGCTATAGTTCCAGTGTGCATTATAGTCGTGCTTGAACTTTCAAAAGGGATCTCACTGGTCTCAGAAAAACTTCATGTTATCTCTTCAGTCACCTTTTCGCTCAATCTCACTTTTACCATTATTGAAAGCTATTATCAATTGCAAAAAATGGTCATTAAATTCTGTACAAAAAAGTGTTCGCTGTGTGTCGTTTTAGCCGATCCATGGAACTCATCATTCATTACAACGGGATCCGACAAATGGTACTGGCAACTGTTGCTGAACCAAATTGATGAAACAATTGAACTCATCTAACACATTCTGGACACCAATTGAAAAAAGCGACAGAGACCTTCAACATGTTTCGTGTTCCTATTATTCCTTTACGAAGTATTAGTTAATCATTTTTATTCCAGGTAGTTTCGGTAGTTTCGTTAATCATTTTTATTCCAGGTTATGGGACTGCCATCTATCGATGCCTAGAAACACATCCCTTAATGTGGCAGTGGTTAGAGTCCTTGCTTATTTAGTGTGGTCATTTTCCTCTGGGTGGCGCTATATACTATATAAGAAGGGCGCTACAGTTAAAGTGTGCGTTGTGGTCGTGCTTGACCTTTAAAAGGAGATCTCAGTAAAGTGAAATAGTTGATAAACTTCATGTCATCTCCAGTAAGTATATAACAAAAATGGGTCATGGCGTTTAAGACTGGGCCAGTTTCTTTGTCTAGATTTCATTATTCTTTCCCAATAAAATTTTTTCTTCTCTACTTAAATTAAATGTAAAGGGCTTGCTTCCATAAAATAACCCAAAGAGTAGTGCTTCAATACCCAGTAGTGCTTCAACGAAGATCACCTTTTAATGACCCTTGAAATTGGTCTAGGTTTCATTGTCCAGGTTTCCTTGTTCTTCTGTAATGAAATGTCCTTTTCCGCTATTAAATTAAATACAATTAAAATACATGTAAAGAAGTAGCTAGTCTAACAGAACCCAAAGAGGAATTCGCTATAAATATATCAGGTTTTATTTTTTTCTATTATAATCCGTAAGTAAAGAACAAAAGCAGGGTCATACGATTCCGTTCACTCAAAACATTTCCCCTCTTTAAATTTAAATGTAAAGGAGTAGTTACCATAACAGAACCCATAAAGGAGTTCAACATAAATGAATCACAGTTTATCGGATCCGTCCGAATATATGAAACTTTAAAATACTTTGAGGTTTATGTTCCATTGAGTATATTTCTCTATAATTATTTTGCTTTTATGCTACAATATTCTGTCGATCGAACAGGCCAAGCAGTATCTTTGGAGGGTAATTAACTGAAAATCGGACAGTACTAAAAAATACTTATTGCTTTTTTGTGTACAATATCCTGTCAATCGGGCAGTCATGACAATCGTTGGAGAACCATTGATAGGAAATTGGATGCAATAAACTATGTAACCAATATCTATATATTTTTCTGGATGTACCTCCTATCCGATTATCTGTGATATGGCTTTTTAGTTCCATTCTGTCAGTTTTGTAATGATTTTTGATCCCGATTATTGTTATTATTTGATAAGAGGACGGGGGCTAGAGGACAATATTTTTTCATAAATATAATTTACAAAAGGGCAATAGGTTTTCAGAGCATATGATAGGTATTTTATACTTACAAAATCGCATTATTTCCGATTATATGAGAAAAAAATCTTACCTGAAATGAAGAGGATAAATAATCATTAGTAAAAAAATTATAAAAATGTAAGATTATTCTGAAATCGATTTTCAATATTTTTCAAGTCGATGTTATCAAATAAAAAAATACGCATTGATTTTTTTAAGAATTATTTTTTTTCAAAAATGTCTAATAGGTAGTTAAAAAATGTTTTGACAAATATCCAAGGCTTGAATTTTTAATTTTTTTCTCATATTTTTTATGAAATTTTCAGGGCATGGACTTTTCAAAAAAAAGGTTTTCTGAAATTTAGAAGTTGATTTTTTAATGAACAGCACATGTTACTCGCCTACGCCGACGACATCGACATAATAGGTCGAACATTGAGAGCGGTAACAACCACCTTTGAACAAATTCAGAAGGTTTCTGCCAAAGTGGGTTTGGCAGTAAATGGCGAGAAGACCAAGTTGATGGTATCAACGCGCAAGTATTATGTCTTTGTGCATATGTTGGTAACAGGCAAAAATAATCGAGATAGACCCATGGTTCCTTTTGAGAATATGCATAGAATCACTTTCTGAGTCGATTTATGCATGTCCGGGCTGGTAAATCAATACCAATGCTTGTTAAGGTTTGTAACTTTGCACATATATATTTGAAGATTTAAAAGAGAAGAAAAATAATTTACAAAAAATTTTTGTTATTGTTTTGTTGTTGTTTTTTGTAATTAAAAAAACTCCGTATTTTTGATGGCGGGCATGATAACTCCTCACTGAAACATCGGAATCCGAAAATTATTGACTTCGCTCTAAAATTAAGAAAATGGCGGACCTTTGAAAAAATATTTTTGGAAAATCGCCGATTTTTGACCAAAAAACAAGTTAAAAAATAAGGAAGATCTTCACCGATTGGCTTTATCCTAGTTCATATGATAGCTATACACTCACAGAGAAACGTGTAAAAATTTGAAATCGATTGGGTTATTAGTTTTTGAGTTATCGTGCCCGCCATTCGCAAAAGAGAAAAACGCTTTTAAAGTTTGCACGAATTTTGGCATAGCGTCACTTGATGCTACACAATAAATCGTGTGTGCTATATTTTCAAGAGTTCTTGAAATTTTCACTTGAAATTTTGTAGACATTCTTGAATTAGTGTAGATTCATATATATCTTCGTCTGATTTAAGTTAAATGGTGTACCAAAGACCCTATATATCTTACGATTTGCACGAAATTTGGCATAGCGTATTGAATTGTGTCTATAATAATGTGTGCTAAGTTTCATGAAAATCGGTTCAGATATAGATATAGCTCCAATATATATCTTCGCCCGATTTTAGGTAAATGGTGCACCAAAGTCCCTGGAAATCTTTTCATTTACACGAATTTTGGCATAGCGTACTGAATTAAGTCTAGAATGTTTCCCTGAAATCGGTTCAGATATAGATATATAACAAAGACGCCACGTCTGTTAAGATATATATGTAGAATATACCCAAAGTGGGGAAGGGTATCATATAGTCGGCCCAGTCCGACTTTACCACCTTCCTTACTGGTTTTTATATTATATTTTATTATAAAAAATAGTCAACTGCAATAATTATATCTGCTGTGATGTTGTCTCTGACGGCTGCTGACAACAAAGGTCGAATCAAATCAAAGACGACACACTACGTAATTTTCAGAATAGGTGTGTGTGAAGATGATTCGAAGTCGCACAATTAAAGAAAACGCATATTTCCGTAATGAAAAAAATAATTTGTGTGAGAAATCATAATTAACAACGGAATCCAACTAAAAAAATGAATAAAGACGAAGATTAAGAAGAAGCACAATAAGTCAAGAACATGTGTATGACTTTTGGGGAAAAACAAATCCAACCAGTTCAACTGGTCCACAGCAATACAAGACAATTCTTATTAAATTTTTGACTATGAAAAATTTCTTTAAAGATACTTGAAGAAGAAGAAAAAAATGGAATAACAACTAAAAATTGCTGCAAGCTTTACTTGGCAAAAGTGATCATGCTTGTGATTGACAGTTGCTTTGTTTTAAATCTTATCAATTTTTGGTCATTATTGATTACCCCCAAACAAATTTTTAATTATTTTGTATTCATATAAAAATCCCAGAATTCGGATTGTGCAGCATCAGTTTACTGTGTGGAGTTAAGAAGACAAAAAGTTTTTCCCGAAAGAAGCTAAGAAAAATGCGTTTGTTTGTGGTAAATATTGCAAGGAGTCGGATAAAGGATCGACAGGATATTTTATTATGTGTATTCATCTTTAGGTCCTTTCCTGTTTGGCCGCTGTGGCCTTGGCTAAGCCCCAATACAACTATGGCAGTGGTGTTTCGGGTACCTTTGGTAGCTCAACCTCTTCGGGAGCCATCAAATACCCCAGCTCCTCCTCGATTGGTGGAGGTTCCACCTTCGGTGGCCCAGGATTTGGTATAAGAGGTGGTTTTGGTTCCACCTCGGGTGGCAATCAATTTGGCTCCTCAGGATCTTCAGGGTTTGGTGTGGGACCATCATTTGGTTCCAGTTCTGGATTTAGTTCAGTATCTTCATTTGGTTCCGGCTCTCGAGGTGGTGCCTCATTTGGCTCCAGTGGTTCGAATTTTGTTGGCAATACCGGTGCCAGCCAAGGTTTTGAAGCCCCCTTGGTCCACAAACAATTCATTACCGTTTCCGCTCCTGAAGATAATGAAAATTTGGAAATGACCAAACATTTGGTTATTGGCCGCCCACAAAAGAACTATCGTGTTGTGTTCATTAAGGCCCCCTCATCCAGCAATGCCAATGTTAAATTGTCGGCCGAATATGCACCCAAGGAAGAGAAGACTGTCATTTATGTGCTGTCGAAGAACGACAACAACTTGGAAGTTAGTGACATTGCCACCCCAGCACCCACTGTACCCAGCAAACCCGAAATCCACTTCATTAAATACAAGACCGAAGAAGAGGCCCAACATGCCCAAAGACAAATTCAAGGTAAGTTCTTAGCGACTCAAACTCAAAATGGGATCCAAAATTAAAATTCTCTTTCTTCACCCCTTAGCTGAATATGACAAAATCGAAGGTAGCTCGGAACACACTGATGCCGGTGTTGCTCCCCAACAATCTGTGGTTGGTATTTTGGGTGATGGCGGTAATGCTGGTGGTAGCGGTAGTTTCGGTGGTAGCACTGGTTCCTTTGGTACCTCTTCGGGTGGTTCTTCTTTCGTTAGCAGTGGTCCTTCATCCTCTGGCAGCATTAGTTTTGGCACCACTGGCTCCGTTGGCAGCAAGAGCTCAGCTTACTTGCCTCCCACAACTGTTTAATAAAAATGTGAGAGGCTCAAGTTTTATGAATTACCAAATTGCAAAGTTATGTTGTTGAATTGTATTACGAATTAAAAAAGAAAATAATAAAATCGAAGATAAAAACGAAAATTGGAATCTGGATTTTCTTTTTTGGATTTTTCAAAACAAAAAAAAAAGTGTCGTTGCAAACTTTTCATGATATTGACGTCCAAACTTTATTTGGGTGGACGCTGTGTCTACTGTAACGAAAAAAATGTGTAAAAACAGATTGAGGCGAACCAGCTTTTTTATGTTCTCTATCGATTTGTGACTAAGCCACTCATTTCAGGGTCTTCGCGTCAAAGTACAACTTGGAGCCAACAAAATGAGGACTACGTCTCTTATGTATCATTTTTCAAAATTTTATCTGCATCTACCTTTAAATGATGCTGACATTTTGAAGCTCAATTTTGAGTGTTTTAGTTTTTTTTTAATTTTGCTTCTTGTTTCAATGTGCAGTTACGAATTTCTGAAAATCGATTATATTACTATAGTAGTCGAATCTGAGTACTTTGGGTACAGAGTATGCACAGCTTTAGAGTAATAACCATTCAAAGGTGACAATTCTGTGCGATCAAATTTCTAAAAAAAATATTTTTCGGGTTTTTAGAAATTCGAACTATAACTATCCCTAAAGTACGAAAAAGTACTAAATTTGTTTAGTGTGCTCATGTGTACGAAAAGTACTATATGGTACTATATTTGGTGCAAATTTATTTTGTAGGTACAAATCAAGCTGGAATCCTGAAACTTGGATTTATGATCACTGTGGGAGTGTAGGATTGGTGGGATGATATTATATCCTCAAACCAAAAACAAATAATTATCCTAAATTTTATTATTTTGATATCGTCTGATTATCGTGGTGTTTAGATTATGTACATATTTTTAAATTAATTTTTAGGTGGATGCATGTCATGAAAATAATGACATAATCCCCTATATTTTTATTATTTTTCTCAAAATTCGCGATAACTTTCCTATTGCTCCAGTCCTTCTGGTACCTTGTACAATATATTTTCTTTACCAATGCCAGATCAATTTTGAAGATGGGACATTGGTGCACTCCTTCTGGTACCTCCCACACAAATGGTCTAATTTGTTCATATTTATGAATCCAATATCAGGTGAATGGAATGTCCGATTTGAACCAAACTTTGCACAACCTTATATCATAACCAAGAATATATTAAGTTCGAAGATGGAATTCATTAGTCCACTCCTTCCGGTCAAAATTTTCAATATTTATAAATCCAATATTAGGCGAATGGAATGCCCGATTTGAACTAAATTTTGCATAAGCTATTACCTTTACCAAGCCTAGATCAAGTCCGAAGGTGGGACCCGTCTGCCCTTTCCTCTGGTACATTCTACAAAAAAGGTCAATATTATATATTTGATCAACATAAAATCTGAAACGTCTTTAATTAAACACATCCGTTATCTAAAACGATTAATAAAACCTGTGTATAACTCCGAATACCCACAGCCGCAAACAATAGGGTGAGGGTATATATCTATCGGCCACACCGACTGACACTTTTTTACTTGTTCTTTTTTTAACTTTAAAAGAGTTGGAAGATATTGTATTAAATTCGTTATTTTGTTTATCGTAGTACGCAATAATAAAAAGTGTTGCCTACTTTTAGGCATATATCAAATCAAATACTAATTATGATATATTAGACAAACTTCATAATCATCTTTATATATTTGATTATAAACTAAATATATTGAAACGAATAATTAAATATAGAAACTAATATTTAAGTTCGATAAAAAAGCAATCAGAGTAGACATTACCATTAAGTTCGTTGTATAGAAGAGCTATAACAGAACTTTATAAAAACACACAAAATACCTTAAGAAAATATTCTATGTGTGGCTAAAGGAAGGCTTAACGAAGATATGTTATCTGTAAAAGACATTCTATGCACAGAGGACCATTAGAAGGTCTTCAGAGTATAAAAGACCCATAAGGGATGTTCTAGAAGGTATTCTATAAATAGAAAAACCTTTAGCAGACGTTCTATGTAAGAAAATATTTTATGAAGAAAAAGACTCCTATGTAAAGGAGACTTCTAGACCATCTATCTTAAAAGTATCGATCGATCTTCTGAGTATAACGGATCCATAAAAGGTCTTCTACATACTGAAGACTCTTAAAAGGTTTTCTGTAAATAGAAAAAAAAACATAAAAATGTTCCTTGTAAAGAAAATATTTTATGAAAAAAAATCCTATGTAAAGAATCCCCCAAAATATATATGTATAAAAAATAACAAATAAATTCCCCTTCCAAAAAAAATCGATCTTGACATTGAATTTTCAAAAAAACTCATAAAAGGGCAACAAACTTTCAGGAAAAAATTAATGGGAAAAAGTATTAATTGTATGTTTACAAAAAAATTGGAGTCTCCGTTAATATTTTTTGTTTTTTGACTATTTTACATAAAATACTGATTAGGGTCTACTAATTATGGTTTTCATATGAAAAAAAAAAATCCCCTGCAGCAACAACTAATTTCAATCAAACTCTAGAGGCCAATGAGTTTATGACGTTAAACTTCTTCTAAAATCAAAACGTTTTTGTCTACATTTCAATACGAGATTCACATGTAGTATATCCGACGGGTGATGTATTGGTTTTTAATTCGAAGTTAGCAAAAACGAAAAAAAAAAAAAATTAAAACCAACAAAAATAATAATTAATCATTTGAAGAGTTAACATGGGGTTGAAACAAAGAAAATGAACGAAAATTTCAAAATATATTGAAATTTGGTCGATTAGCCAAGAAAAATATATAAATTTGGAGCTTATTTTTAAAAATTCTTAATATAGGGCCCATGACCATGGTAAATTTTTGGTAGAAAAAAAATGTTCAACCAATGATAACCTAAAATATCAAACTAGAACTACTTCGGTTGCAAAAATGTGCCGAAATTCCCACAAAATACCAAAAAAATATAGCTACCCTGAATCTTGATTCAATGTTGATAATTTTTGGTCGCAAAATTTTCTACACAATCGTTGAGAATTCTAAATAATAAATTTGGTTGAAAACGTGACCTACATCCGAAAATACCGAAATTTGAGAGATACCTTTGTACTGGGACTAAGACCAATGTGGTGGAGAAATGTGTGCAAAATATATCGTCGACCGAATATATTTAATATCCTAGTGTTAGTGGGGATGAATACGCAAACAATCCAAGGTCTATCTTAAATATGACGAGCTCTATCTTCATTTCAACGGACGAATGTGTATGTAATCCAGAATATACATACACATTAGGGCGGGCCAATTTGTATGGAGCCGAAAAAATCGATTAAATGCAGCCCCTAGGATGATTCTATGGTCAAGGAACCATAGGTCTATCTCGATTTTTAAGTCTCCCACGTTTCAAAAAAGTATGTTTTCCCTATAACATCATTTTGATTCAAAATTCGATGTTTATCCATCGTTATATTATGTTTTGTATGTGTATAAAGGGGGTGGGGGCTTTTGGGGTCGAGAAATTTATTTCTGATCTTTATTTTTGCCTATGACTACCGCCAGAGGGCGTTGCATACATATTTTTAACTATTTTTCGTCTATTTTCTGAGAAAAATTACATCATCGATCATCGATTTTTCTATTATTAAGTGGTAACATTTCATTTAATACATCTAATTTATTTTTTTAGGTTGCAGATGAAATCGGGATACCCAGGAAAAAATAAAATAAAGTTCAATTTTACCACAAAACTTGTAAATGATATTATAGGGAAAAATCATTTTTCTGAAAGGTGGGAGACCTGAAAATAGAGACAGACCTATGGTTCCTTCACCAAAGTTGCTTAGAATTGTTCATAGAATCATCCCAGGGTCTGGATTTAATCGACAACAAGTTTGGCCCGCCCTAATACACATATAACCTGTGGGGTCTCTGGTGAATATTTCGACTTATGGTGGGTTGTGGGAAAAGTTAGATGTATGAAATTTCTCATACATTTTCCCCGATCATTTGACCATTTTGATACAATTTTCAATTTGACCATTTTGATAGAATTTTAATTTTTATTTCTAAAGTATGGCAACCCTACATATTTATTTAATGTATTTTTTCATATTTTTTTTCCAAAATCCATAACCAAATTTTAATCAATTTATATCACAAAATGCATTTCATATCGATTTTAGTAGTTTTTTGTTTTGTTTTACGGACAAGTGTTATCTGCATTGTGTGTGTGTATCTTTGTGTGCAAGATAAAACAGCTGTTTTCACAGCTGATCACATTAGATAAGGTTTAGATTATTTCTTTAAATTTGTTAATAAATTACTGTTGCTTTGTTGTTGATTTTGGTTTACACATTAAGGTCATAGCATAACCTTTTCTTGGATTAGCAGAGCAGAACAACAACAAATCAAACGAATTAAATACAACAACATAATCATAGATAGGCCGAATCAAATGAAAAGTGATAATAAATCACATGAGGGATATGGGCAATGGTCGAAAGTTGAAATGACCTACAATGCGATTTAATACCTAAATATTTAGCTAGCTTGTGTTAGAACATTTTTTCCATATAAAAAAGATTTCCAGGCGCGTCGGTCTTTTGCACTATTCTTCCATTCTGAAAGATGAACTTTTATCTTTTCATCGAATTCGTGATCTTCCCTTTCTGCGTGAGCCATCAGTTGATTCGCTTTTATATGCCTTTTGAGCTGGGGAATCCTCATCCATTCTCACAACATATCATAGCAAATGTAGTCGCTGCAGCTCGGTACGTCTGACTATGTAGATGTCCAAGAATAGATGGTACAACTCATGATTCATGGATCGGCCCATAAATCTTTCGGAGAATTTTTTTCTCTCAAACACTCCAAGAGCTGTCTCATCTGCTTGCACAAGTATCCATGCTTCAGATCCATATAACAGCACGGGTAGTATCAGCGTTTTGTAGAGTGTGAGTTTTGTCTGGCGATTGGTGGCCTTGTTTCTAAACTGCTTACATAGACCACAATAGCATCTGTTGGTCAACATTACCATTCTCTGAATTTCAACACTGGTGTCATTTGTTTTATTTATGGCAGAACCAAGGTATCTTTTACTACCTCGAAGCTGCAGTTCTCAAGTTTCACAGTTGGTCCGAGTCTACTGGACGTCTTGGGCGTTGATACCATCAGCTTGGTCTTCTCGCCGTTTACTACCAGACCCACTTTGGCAGACTCCTTCTAAATTTGTTCAAAGGTGGCTGTTACCGCTCGCAATGATCGAACCATTATATCGATGTCATCGGCGCGGGCGAGTAACGTGTGTTGTTTGGTGTACAGAGTGTCATTTCTGTTCACCTTTGCCTTTCGTATGACCTTTTCCAGCAGGATGTTAAAGAGATCACATGACAAACTGTCACCTTGGCTTAATCCTCGTTCGGTATTAAAGAGCTCCGATAGGTTCTTGCCGACTTTAACTGCTGACCTTGTGCCACTTAAAGTCATCCTGCATAGCCATATTAATTTTGCAGGGATGCCGAACTCATATATGGCTTTAAACACCTCTGAACAAATAGGGCTGTTAAATGCAGCTTTATAGCCGACAAATATATGGAATATGTCGCTGTATTTTTCGAGGGTCTTTTCAAGAATTTAGCGCAGAGTGAAAATCTGGTCAATGGTGTATTTGCCAGGTCCGAAGCCGCATTGGTATAGTCCAATAATGTCATTGAACATTGGCTTCAGTCGTTCCCATAGTACGCTGGATACAACTATGTATGCGATGGGAAGGAGACTTATTCCTCCAGCATCTGGCCACGGGTCTTGAATAGTTCGGCAGCTCGACACCTGCTGCTTTATTATTCTTCAGCCGATTGCTATTCTGACCTAATCTTGACTATGTGGTATACACTTTATACCATCATCTCTTATTGATTCTGGGATATCTTCTTCATCGCTGCTATTTGATACCAGAAGCTTTTCAAAATGCTCCTTCCAGATCCTCAACACGGTGTATGTATCTGTCATAAGGTTTCCTACTTCATCTCTGCAGGAGGATGTGCCTGCACATCTCGATTTGCTCATGCTCACGTATTTCTTGTTCTTTATTCCTCTTTTTTCTGAAAATACGTTTCTCCCGATAATTCTCCATCACATTAAGTGTAGCTACTGCCTGCAGGATTGCCCTATACGCTGCGTTTTTCAGATCAGTAGCATTACGACACTCCTGATCGTACCATGGGGTTCTTGATGGTGGCATTTGGTACCCAAGTTTTGATTTTCCTGCAGTTTGTAGGGAGCGGGCGATTATTTGTCATTGTGCTTCTATATTATTATCGTGGCAAGAAGTGTTTTCGTCAAGCAGGTGGGTAAGTTGAGCGGAGTAGGCATCTGCTACCTGTTGTGTTTGCAGCTTTTCTATGTCGAGTTTACTTGTTGTGTTATATCGCTCCTTTGTTGCTATATTAAGACGAGTGCGAACCTTGGCTGCTACAAGGTAGTTGCCCGAATCGATATTCGCTCCTCGGATCAATCGAACGTCTAAAAAACTTGATGAATTGCTTCTGCCTATCACAACATAATCGATTTGATTTCTCGTTGTTTGATCAGGAGAAATCCAGGTGGCCTTGTGTATATCGACATGCTTAAACCACCAAGTTTTTTGTTGCCGCGAAGGTAATCAACCTCATGCCATTGTCAGATATTTCTTTATGGAGCTGAATTTTCCGACGTTTGGGCCAAAAATATTTTTCCTTCCGATTTTTGCATTAAAATCTCCTAGCAGAATTTTAATTTCATGGCCAGGCCAGCGTTCATATGCAGTTTCTAGGTGCTCGTAAAATATGTCTTTGGTCTTTTCACCTTTGTCTTCGGTCGGACAATGGGCGCCAATGAGGCTGATGCAGAAGAACATCGCTTTTATGCCGATTAAAGCAATTCGCCCATCTACTGGCGTGAATCTGGAGACGAGGTCTATTATTCTTCTGTTAACCAAAAATCCGCAGCCAAATTCACGTCTCGCTTCATGGCAGCTATAATACAGTGGGGTAATCGTCTGATTTACTTACGCCAAATTTCACATGGCGCTAGGTGTCAATTATGGTTCCTTTTAAAAATAATAATACCCTCTATAGGGTGACCCATAATTTTGTAAACAAACCATGGGATTATTATAAAAATAACAACAACAACAACAGACTAAAACAAATTAATAAATTATTCAAACAGGAAAACATAGCCGGTAATCAGATACTCCAAAACAAATCGGCACACACACTACACCACGCAAAATACAAAAGCCGGTGGTTATTAGTCATCTATTCATTGACATGACATGTCGACCAAAACCCCCTCAAAAAAAAGAAGAAAAAATTGACATGAACTTCAATTTGTCCGGCCATTCTTAAACTAAATAAGCTTCGTTGATCTTCTCCAACTTCGTTTTGGGTTAGGTGGTATAAAACCAACGAAATTATTGGGTTAAAGTATCAGTTCGATTACGACCAACTGTCATTAAAGTATTGCGGGGAAAAACAAGAAGATGCGTGTATTTTTGGTAAATTTGGTAGAACTGCGGAGGCACGATTGGTTATTAACAGAGAATTAATTTTCATTTCCAGACTTTGTGTTCTTTGTTGGCGGTGGGTTTGGCCAAGCCCCAATATAACTATGGTAATGGTGTATCGGGTACCTTTGGCAGCTCGGGTTCCTTGGGTTCGTCAGCAGGTGTGAGATTTGCTGGTGGATTCTCTTCAGGATCTGCAGTGGGCCAAGGATCTCATTTTAATGGTGGTTCTTCATTTGGTGGCTCCCTTGGTGGAGGTTCCAGCTTAGGTGGTTCACTTGGCGGAATTTCCAGCTTAGGTGGCTCCCTCGGTGGAAACTCAGCATATGGTGGAGCAATTAATGGAGGTTCCTCCTTAGGTGTTTCCCATGGTGCAGGTTCCTCATTTGGTGGAGCTTCTTCCCTTGTCGGCGGTGCCAACACTTATCACCAAAGCTATAGCTCCGGTCATTCGGCACAATTTGAAGCCCCCTTGGTGCACAAACAATTCATAACCGTTTCTGCTCCCGAAGACAGCGACAGTTTGTCGCAAACCAAACATTTGGTAATTGGTCGCCCACAAAAGAATTATCGTGTCGTCTTCATTAAGGCACCATCAAGCAGTAGCTCGAATGTTAAGCTATCTGCCGAATTTGCACCCAAAGAAGAAAAGACTGTCATTTATGTGTTGTCCAAAAAGGATAGTGCCTTGGAAGTCAACGATATTGCCACACCCGCCCCTACCGTTCCCAGCAAACCTGAGGTCTTCTTTATTAAATACAAAACTGAACAGGAGGCTCAACATGCCCAAAGACAAATTCAGGGTAAGTAGAAAAGACTCACACTTAATTATTTTTTTAAATACTAATCTGATTATCTTATTTTTTCCCTTCCAGCCGAATACGATAAAATCCAAGGCAGCTCCGAACACACAGATGCTGGTGTTGCTCCTCAACAATCGGTTGTTGGTATTTTGGATGGCGTTAATGGTGGAGGTGTTGGTTCTGCTACTACTATTGCAAGTGGTTCGGTTACATCGGGAATTTCCAACACCGGAGTAGCTTCAGAATCTTCGTTCGTTGGCAGTGGATCATCAGGCTCTTTTGTTGGCAGTGGACCCTCAGCCTCTTTGGTTGCCGGTGGTTCTTCGGGTTCATTTACTGGCAGTTCGGATTCGGTTACTGTCAAATCAGCTGCCTACTTGCCCCCGACCACCACACACTAAATTTTTGAAGACTAACAAATTGTAGTTGTTATTTTTGTTTTCTTCTTGTTCCGAAGAAGTAGTAAAAATTGTTTAAATAAATGTTAAAAAAAAATATGCATATTTATTACTTGAAGAAATGTGGGACTGGGGTCTCGGGAACGATGTTAATTATAGCTATCATATGTAAGTAACATCGAATAATGAAAATGCGAATATTTTTCATAAACAATTATTCTATTGTTTTTCGAAGTCCCTTCTCAATTAACTTGTAGAAGCACTTTTTTATGTTCCGATTGAGTCACCTCCAAAATATGGTTTTAAAAGCTTCTACAGCAATTTCTAGCGACGAAAATCTCTTTTTTCTCGATGTGCGGGAATAAAAAGAAATTATTGGGTGCCAAGTCAGGGCTGCACGACAGATCCTTTATTTCAGGTTTTGGTCCGTAACAAAATCGCTGATTTATGTCCGTGTGTGGGCGCTCGCATTGGGTACCAAAAACAACCACCAAGAAACCCATGGTACGACCAGGAGTGTCGTAATGCTACTGATGTGAAAAACGAAGCACAGGTAGTAGCAACACGCAATGCGATGGAGAATTATCGGGAGAAAAGGAGAGAGGAGAATTTTTTTCAGAAGAAAGAACAAGAACAGCCTGAGAGTTAGCAAATCGAGATGTGCAGGGTGACAGATTGAAGTCCTGAAATTTTACCAAAGAGTAAAATACCAAACCGAAGACTTTGCTACAGGCGCATCCTCCTATAGAGATGAAGAAGGAAACCTGGTGACAGATACAGATAGCGTGCTGAGGATCTGGAAGAATCATTTTGCAAAGCTTCTGGTAGCAAATAGTGGCGGTGACGAAGATACCCCAGAACCAATAAGAGATGACGGTATAGAGTGTATACCACCTACCCAAGATGAGGCCAGAGTAGCTATTAATCGGCTGAAGAACAATAAAGCAGCACGTTCCGAAGGTCAGCAGCACGTTGCTGGTCAGGAGCATGTACCAGAGCTCATTAGTACAACTTGGATAGTGGAATGCATGCCCAATGATTTCAGACTCAGCATCCTGTGCATCGGGCACAAAAAAAGAACACAAGACGATATGTGCCAACTATATGCTATCCAGCGTGCTGTGTGAACGATTGAAGAAAATTACATTATTGAACCATACCAATGTGGCTCTAGGCCTGACAAATCCACCAATTACCACATTTTCACTCTGCGCCAAAACTTGGAAAAGAACACATCAACACATTCCACCTATTCGTCGACTTTCAGCCGTATTCGACAGCCCTATCCGTTCAGGGGTGTTTAAAGCCATATCTGCGTTCGACATTCCTCCAAAATTAATATGCAGGAATACTTAAACTCTAGGAACCCTTCAATACCGAACGAGGGTTCAGACAAGTGGACAGCCTCTCGTTGGACCTTTTTACCATTCTGCTGGGAAAGGTCATACGAGAGGCAAAGGTGAACAGAAATGACACCTAACAACACAAGTTACTCCCCTACGCCGAGGACATCGACATAATGGGTCGAAAATTGCGAGCGGTAACAGCTACCTTGGAATAAATTGGGAAGGAATCTGCCAAAGTGGACAGTAAATAGCGAGAAGACCAATCTGATGGTATCAACGCGCAAGACGTCCATTAGACACGGATTAACTGTATAACTCGAGAACTATAGCTTCGAGGTAGTCAACGACTCGCCAGACCAAATTCACACTCTACAAGACGCTGATACTATCCGTGCAGGTATATAGATCTGAAGCATGGGTACTTTCGCAAGCAGATGAGGCAGCTCTTGGAGTGTTTGAGAGAAAAATACTCCGGAAGTTCGAGGGACCGATCTTTGTTGACGGTGAATATCGCCGTCGAATAAACCATGAGCTGTACCATCTATTCTCGGACATCGACATAGTCAGTGGTATGGAGATGTAGCGGCTACGTTGGCTAGGCCATATTGTGAGAATGGATGAAGATGCTCCTGCTTAAAAGGAATATAAAAGCCAGCTGATGGTTCACGCAGAAAAGGAAGACCACGAATCCGATTTCAAATTGGAAGAGCTGCGCACAAGATCGATGTGCCTGGAAATCTTGTTTATGCTTGGCTTATGGAACAAATATTCTATCAAAAGACAGCTAAGTAAATAGTAAGTGGGGGGCTCGCATAGTCATGGTGCAAAATGACTCTTCGTTTCGTTTTTCGAATTTTTCTGAAGACATCGGGCTGAATCTGGGAGATACTGTCGGCAAATTCTATACGATACAGTGCCGTTTTGTCGGTTTGCACCTTCACTCTAACTCGAACACTCCAGGCCTGTACTATAATTTGTCACCACGATTTTTCAGGATTGCTCTTCACTCAATCAATGGGTAATCCTGAATAATTAAACTGCTGAAAACGGACTCGATATATTCCGACATAACATTCCAAATGACTTAAGACAACTTTTCAGTCATACCATCCATAGCTGGTGATTTTCTACTTCTAATCCGACAGATACTGTCCGCAACTTCTACATGATCAGTAGCGTTTTGTAGATTTCCTTCTCCACTTCAACTCGTCACTCTAGGTCTGCATTATATGCATACCTTGCTCACCACGATTTTTCCAGGATTATTCGAACATTCTACATAAGCGACACCACAGCTTGAGCACAATTCCTCGATCGCGGGAACTGTGTTAACCCGATGTATTCTAACATGGCTTTCAGATGGCTTTAAACATCCTTTCTGTCATACCATCCACACCTGACGAATTTCTACTTTTAATTCGGCAGATACTGTTTATTACTTTATATGATTAGCATCGTCTTGTCGACTTCCACTCCAACTCGTTTAATGCAAGCCTGCCACGATTTTGTCAGGATTACATCTCACTGTCAGGATTACATCTCAACGCCACAACTCGTACACACTTCCATGCACGGTAATCCGGACAAATGCAACCTGTAGAAAAGGCCTCGATATATCCCGGCATGACCTTCCTTTCATTCATACCATCCGCACCTGACCATTTTGTATTTCTAATTGGACAGATACTGCTGCAACTTTTATACGATTAGCACCGTTTCGTCAATTTCCACCCCAATTTGTTCACTCCAGGCCTACATTATATGCCTAGCTTGCTCATCACAATTGTTCAAGGTTACTCCTCATTTGATAAATGGACTTATGTAACATCACAACTCGGGCACCCTTCCATGAACGCGGGCAGTAACCCTGACTAATGCATCTGGTGAAAACGGACTTGATATATCCTGGCATGACCTTCCAGATGCATTACTCCTTACTCAATCAACACCGAACTCTGACATACTTCAATGAAACGGACTCGATATATTCTCCGTTTCAAATTCCACTCCAACTCGGTCACACAGACCTGCAATATATGCGTAGCCAGGATTTTTCCTGGATAACTCATCAGTCTACTTAAGCAATACTACAGCTCGGACACACTTCCATTCACCCAGTCCAATGCACATAGTGAAAACGGACTCGATATATTCCGACATAATCTTTCAGATGGCTTTAAAGATCTTTCCAACAATACTACATACAACAGGCGATTTTCTACTTCTAACTCAACAGATACTGTCCGCAACTTATTCGCGATCAGTACCATTTTGTCGGTTTTCACGTCCATGCAATTGGTAAAAACGGACTGGATATATTCGAGATGGCTTTCATGGTGATGGTTCTTCAGTCGGAGGAGTTGGAGGTGCAAGCCAGAACTACCACGGCAGCAATGCCCATACCTACCACACTGCTGGCCACTTTAAAGCTCCCGTTCCGCTCCCGAGGATAATGATAATTTATCAAAAACAAAGCACTTGGAAATTGGTAAAAACGGGCTCGATGTATTCCAGATGGCTTTCAACATTCTTCCAGTCATACCATCTATACCTGGCGATTTTCTACTTCTACTTCGCAAATACCATCCGTAACTTCTATACGATCTAAACCCATAGGTTCTCCTAATCCATCAACAAGCGGAGAAAATGATAAAGCTTCCGAATCCGGTAAGAACATTTCTTGAAAAGGTCGTCAGTCATACCTGACGATTTTCTACTTATAATGCGGCAGTTACTGTCCGCAGGCTGAAGGCTCTCCCAATTTATCAGCTTGCAGAAAAAATTAAGGAGTCTCCAAATCCGGCAAGAACGTTTTCATCAAAGGTTCGAAGCTATGCGCCAATACAACCGGGAAACAAATTTAAAATTAATATTTAAGATTGGCCATCTGCCGCACCACCAAAGGCTATGAAACCCTCAGGTGTAAACAAATTTAAAAGACCTTTCGGATTGACCATCTGCCGAATCACCGAAGGCTATAAAACATTTTTAGCCTACCGAAGGCCGATTATTACCTCAACAATCATCACACCAGATGACATGAAATGTCAAAGTGATGGATGTAAGTCAAAAGAAACCAGGTGCTGGTCTGCTCTGGCAAATTTCCAAATATCAAAAAACCCAGTTGCGTTTGTATGATTTTTGATAGATACAAAATATGCAATTAATAAAATTTTGATATGCAAATCAAAAAAAATATTTGCCGCTATTACAAAAAAAACAAGAAGTTAATGATGGTTGATAGTGGTCGTCGCACCCGATTGCATTGACATAACAAACCACAACACGAAGGGTTAATGGTAAAAATTACTAATGGTGATGATCACCATCTCTGATGATGATCAGCAGCAGCAGCAGGTCAGGTCAAGCGGAGTTTGCTTACTTGGATGATGGTAGCCCCCACCCTGAAGTTAATCACTATCGACTTTATCCGGACAATTATCAAATGCTTGATGACCAACAACTTAGTGTCATGATTTTGGTAGCGGAATTTCTTTTGGCTATAAAACTGCCAATGAAATGGAAATAAATCAACAGTTCCCTTCAGCAGCTGTGGCAGATCGTATAAAAAATTTTAAACTCTAACAAAAATGCGTGGCTTTGTGGTAAATATGAAATGAAGAGGAAAAAAATTAAATTTTTAATAATCGTTATTTTTGCAGGTTTTGTGTACCCTGATGGTCCTTGGTTTGACTGAGGCCCAATATAACTATGGCAGTGGAGTGTCTGGTACCTTTGGTAGCTCAGTTGGTGGCAGAATAGGTGGTGGCGTTGGAAATTTTGCTGGTAACAGTGGCTTCTCTTCGGGTGGTTCTTCATTCGGTGGATTGGGAGCTATTGGTGGAGGATCTTCATTTGGTGGATTGGGTGCTATTGGTGGCGGTTCTTCATTCGGTGGAGTTGGAGCAATTGGTGGCGGTTCTTCATTCGGTGGCTCTTCCTTCGGTGGTGCTTCCTCCTTTGGTGGTGCTTCCTCCTTTGGTGGCGCAAGTCACAATTATCATGGCAGCAATGCCCATACCTCCCACACTGCTGGCCACTTTGAAGCTCCCTTGGTCCACAAGCAATTCATTACCGTTTCCGCCCCGGAGGATAATGATAATTTGTCGAAAACCAAGCACTTGGTAATTGGTCGCCCCCAAAAGAATTATCGTGTCGTTTTCATTAAGGCTCCCTCTTCGAATAATGCCAATGTTAAGCTGTCGGCGGAATATGCTCCCAAGGAAGAGAAAACTGTTATCTACGTGCTCACCAAAAAGGATAGCGCTTTGGAAATTAATGATATTGCCACGCCAGCTCCCACTGTGCCCAGCAAGCCTGAGGTCTTCTTTATCAAATACAAAACGGAGGCTGAGGCCCAACATGCCCAACGACAGATTCAATGTAAGTTCGAAAATCACAAAAAAAAAATTAAACTAAATATTCTTTGAAATCGTACAAGTGACCCTTCATAAATGAGATTTTGAAAACTTTATTTAATATTTTGTTTCTTCTCTTTCCTCCACAGCCGAATACGACAAAATCCAAGGTACCTCGGAACACACAGATGCCGGTGTTGCTCCCCAACAATCGGTGGTTGGTGTTTTGGATAATGCTGGAAATGTTGGTGGTGGTGCTGCAGCTCACATTGGTGGTGGGGCTGTCTCATCCGGCTTTGGCAATGCTGGTGCCTCATACTTGCCACCCTCGGGCAAATAAGTGCCGCAGTTTAGCAGAGGCGAATTTTGTTGTTACTTTTTTCAAAAAAAAAGTTAATTTTGTTATGAAATTTTTTTATATAAAATAAAAAATAAATAAAATTCTATATAAAGCTGGAAGTTATATTTCATTGGTGAAAAACTGATCTGAGAAGGTTTAACAAAAGTGGGTTTCAATTGTCATTTCCTTTGCATATATGTCAAATAAATCCTCGTAAAGTAGGTTAACCCGGTAAAAAGTTCTAAAGTACAAGGAGTTCAACATTTAAAGTCCCCACCATCACACATAATGATATAAATCGACTTGATTTTTTATCAGCCCTAACCTTCAGATGACGGGAGTTTATAATACATACAACCCATTAAATATTTGAAAAATATACGCCTTAGATAATTTGTTTTATAATTTTTCAAACAAATGTCTAGCTACATTTAACCATCTAAATGTAGATCGAATTTCTGCAAGATGACAGAACCCCTTCACCATGTAATATTTCGTGTTGTTGGGGTAATAAATGTGGTCTATAGATGATTAAAAATTCTGTCAAAATATATCAAGTAAATATGGACCATACGGTCATTCGATCATCTAGACACCAATCATCACCGAAAACTATAGGTGATCGTCGTTTCGTCTGTTTCTTTGGCAAAACGGGCCATGTAGCGATATAAATCCGCATAGGCAAATGTAGGACGATCAATTCTGACTGGTACACCACAGTTTGTTTTCGGAGAAATACGAACAAGAGAAGACACACCATTGTGCACTATGACAATACGAGCTCTTACATATCGACTCAAACAAGCGCTTTTCTGACCTAAAAATATAGGAATTGATAGGTCATCCGCCGTACGGTCCTGACTTGTTCCTACCCTTGAATGCTCTTATCTATTCTCGCACATCAAGAAAAAATGCGTGTTTAACGACTTTCGTCGGAAGATGATAATGAGGCATTCCCAAAACCATGTTTGGGGGTTTCCTTAATCAGGGTGGAAAAATAACTTCGACAATTGGTTTGATCGCATAAATTATAAATTATTTTGGAGAATTCTTCGGTAAACAATCAAATCATTTTTATGGAGAAATATTCGCGTTTGTATACCCTCCACCATAGTGTGGAGGGTATATTAATTTTGTCATTCCTTTTGTAACTCATTGAAATATTCATTTCCGAACCTATAAAATATATATATATTCTTGATCAGGGTAAAATTCTAAGAAGATCTATCCATTTCTGTCCGTCTGTCCGTCCGTCTGTTGTAATCACGCTATCTTCTGAAGGAATTGAGATAGGGTGCTGAAATTTTGCATATGTTTGTCTTTTGTCTGGAGGCAGGTCAAGTTCGAAGTTGGGATATATCGGTCCACGTTTAGGCATAGATCCCATATAAGGGTACCCGCCAAATTTCGGTATTTTGGGGTTCTTGAGCGCGTTTTTCAGCCGAATTCGCTGAAATTTGGTACATTGGGTTCTTATTGGATACTAAATGTCTCCACGAAAAATTATAAATATAGGTCCACTTTTTCTGGTAGCCCCCATATAACGGTACCTCCTAATTTTCAGTATTTTGGGGTTTTGATCTTATTTTTCCACCGAATTGGCTGTAATTTATTATTTTGAGTTCTTAATAGGTACCAAATCTCCCTACAAAAAATTATGTATATAGGTCCATTTTTTGGGTAGCCCCCATATAAGGGTACCTCCCAATTTTCGGTATTTTGGGGTTCTTGAGCGAGTCTTTCAACCGAATTCGCTGAAATTTGGTACATTGGGTTCTTATTGGGTCCTAAATGTTTCCACGAAAAAGTATAAATATAGGTCCACTTTTTCTGGTAGCCTCCATATAACGGTACCTCCTAATTTTCAGTATTTTGAGGGTTTTGATCGAATTTTTCGCCGAATTGGCTGTAATTTAGTATTTTGAGTTCTTAATATGTACCAAATCTCTCCACAAAAAATTATGAATATAGGTCCATTTTTTCGGATAGCCCCCATATAAGGGTCCCCCCAATTTTCGGTATTTTGGGGTTCTTGAGCGCGTTTTTCAACCGAGTTTGCTGCAATTTGGTATTTTGTAGTCGTATATGGTAACAAATCTCTCTACCAAAAATTATTAATATTCGCCCCCTTTTTGGGGTAGTCCCCATATAACCCTCTTTTTTATATTAAAATAGTTATCTGATTTGTTCCGCGTTTTGAGTTTGGTTCTAAGACTCTATTGTAATCATTTCACCTGCGGAGGATAGCGAGATAAAAAATTATAACGTAAGGTTCGATAATGAACTATAGCCGCATTTAGACCTAGCCCCTATGTGGAGGTTTCAGAAGGAGTGGACCGATATTCCCCACCTTCGAATTTGAATTATCAATTAAAATTATTGTTTTTGGTAGAGATCGGTTAATATTTAGAGGATGAAATGGACTAAAAACTTTATTTTTGTCTGATTATCTGGTGGCTCCAGAGGCCGAATTTTTACATGGAGAAGGAGATCGGGCCAAAGAATAAGCATGTCTGTTTTGATAAATATCGGTAATTATTTAGCGGGTCAAATGGACCTTGACTTTTGTGGGGAAAAATTACAAAATTTCTATTCTATAGCGTATATATTTATTCCTGAAGGTGATAGACCCGAGAAGTTATTAGTATATCCAAGAGGAGTGGTTGACCTTTAAATTGATACCAATTATATTGTTGTATGTACTCAGATGTGGGAGTTACCCTGAAATATTTAAGGTGGTTACGTATTCAGATATTATTTAGTAACCCATTACCACACTGAGGGGCGGAAATATAGCGCTGATCGCTTTAAAAATTTCCAAAAGGTTCCAGTTATGGTGAAGGACAACGTCTATAATTTTCGGCGATGATTAGATAATAATATTGGGATGAAGTGGACCGAAAACTTAATTTTTTGTGTTTTCTTCTAGTCGATCTATTGAAAGCCGAATATCACAACACAAGCCACGGTGAAGGGAATCTGGACAAGTAATTAGAAGAGTTGTACTGAATATTGGAAATATTCGGAAAATATGTCACTGTAATGAAGAGGTGCTGCTGTCGGTCAAGATGGTGCAAATATAACTAAATATTGCCCAAGCTCGAAATAAACATCCACATAAAGTTAAAGTTCCGTGATAGTTGTGTAGGGTATCATATGGTCGGCCCCGTCCTATACTGCTCCGCTCACTGGTTTTAAAACTAATTTTTATGAAAAATTTTGAATCGTCGATATTGTAAACAAAAACCCACAGCTCTTCTATCTATAGAATAAATAAAAAAGAAAAACTCTAGCTATAGAGGACCAACATAAAATCGTCCATCTATCGAGGATCCACAGAAGCTCTTCTATCTTTTAAGGTCCCATTTAAGGTATTTTAGCTACAAAATACCTACAAAACATTAGACCCTTAATGGATATGACACTATTAAATTTTTCGTGTGAAACTTTATAAAACCTCTATAAAAACTGCAAATCACGAACATTGCCACGCCATCGTTTTAAAAAATAAAAACCCAAAAATTCGGTCGCATTATCCTCCCAATTTTGGCAATGCAATATTGTTAGCGTATAATTTATTTGTTTATCATACAAATTAAGCTGTCAAATAAATTCATCAAATGATGAAATGCATGCAGCAATATGCCGAAGCATAATTATTAACCTTTTTTCAAAAGCCAAAAAAAAAACACAAAAAATCATGCACACGCTCTTTTGAAACAAAAGCAAAAAAAGACCGAAAACACCTGCAAAATGTATTTTCTTTCCTTACCACTACTTCATCTTCTTCGTTCAATTGTCGTGTCTTTTCTTCGGTTACTTCTTCATCTTCTTCGAACCACATTATCATTGCTGCATCTATTTTTTATAACATTTGACTATAAAAATATTGAAAATTACAGATTAGAGTATCAGTTTCAACAGACAGCTTCAGACACGCAGTCACCACCGATTCGAGGCAGGCCATCACTACAAAAAACAAACTTCAATAAAATGCGTCTATTTTTGGTAAATAAAATCCGCGGAAAGGATTTCGTAGATTCAAAAATTAATAATAATTCAATCCTCTGTTTTGAATATTTCAGACTTTGTGTTCTCTTGTAGCCCTAACTTTGGCTAAGCCTCAATATAACTATGGCTCCGGAGTTTCTGGTAGCTTTGGAGGCTCAGGCATTGGTGGTGGTGCCTTTGGTGGAAGTTCCTCATTTGGTGCTGGACCTTCCGTTGGTTCTGGCTCAATTGTAGGAGGAGGTTCTTCATTTGGAGGTTCATCATTTGGAGGTTCCTCATTTGGTGGCTCCTCTTTAGGAGGCTCTTCCTTTGGAGGCTCATCATTTGGTGGCGCCTTAAACTATCAATCTGCTTCCCACAGTGCTGGACACTTTGAAGCTCCCTTGGTCCACAAGCAATTTATTACCGTTGCTGCTCCTGAGGATAATGATAGCTTATCGAAATCGAAACATTTGGTAATTGGTCGCCCGCAAAAGAATTATCGTGTCGTCTTCATTAAGGCTCCCTCATCGAATAATGCCAATGTTAAGCTCTCTGCGGAATATGCACCACAAGAAGAGAAGACTGTCATTTATGTTCTATCCAAAAAGGATAGTGCTTTGGAAGTTAATGACATTGCTACACCAGCACCCACTGTGCCAAGCAAACCGGAGATCTTCTTCATTAAATATAAAACTGAGGCAGAGGCTCAACATGCCCAACGACAAATTCAAGGTAAGGGGGAGGATTTTAGATTTAACCAAATTTTAGATTTGCAAATTTTTATAGAAGATCCTCAATCTATAGCGGATTAGATATGGAGTCCATGTATCTTTCGGCGACCTACGGAAGATCTTATATATATATATATATAGAAGACCTGTGGAAGGTCTTCTACTTTCCTGATCTGCCCAACTTTTGATTTCTAATATTCTTGCTTATTTTTGTCTTTCTTTTTTCAGCTGAATACGATCAAATTCAAGGTACCTCGGAACACACTGATGCCGGAGTTGCTCCCCAACAATCTGTTGTTGGTATTTTGGATGGTGGTAATGCAAGTGGCGCTATTGGAGGTGTTGTTGGTAACGGTGCTGCTATTGGATCTGGTTCATTTGTCGGTAGCAGTGGTCCATCGGCCTCAGGCTTTGTTGGTGGCCAAAATGCAGGCTATTTGCCACCAACAACTCATTAGGAGTTTTTTAATTGTTTTTTGTTGAAATTGTTAAAACTTAAAATATTTGTAAATAAAATATATTTTTACAAAAATATACGCCTCCTTGAAAAAATATTCTTTAAAAAATCCACGCCTCTTATAGTCCTTGAAAAAAATATTCTTTAAAAAATCCACGCCTCTTATAGTCCTTGAAAAAAATATTCTTTAAAAAATCCACGCCTCTTATAGTCCTTGAAAAAAATATTCTTTAAAAAATCCACGCCTCTTATAGTCCTCGAAAAAAATATTCTTTAAAAAAAAATCCACGCCTCTTGTAGTCCTCGAAAAAAATATTCTTTAAAAATCCACGCCTCTTATAGTCCTCGAAAAAAATATTCTTAAAAAAATCCACGACTCTTATAGTCCTCGAAAAAAATATTCTTTAAAAAATCCACGCCTCTTATAGTCCTCGAAAAAAATATTCTTTAAAAAATCCACGCCTCTTATAGTCCTCGAAAAAAATATTCTTTAAAAAATCCACGCCTCTTATAGTCCTCGAAAAAAATATTCTTAAAACAATCCACGCCTCTTATAGTCCTCGAAAAAATATTCTTTAAAAAATCCACGCCTCTTTTAGTCCTTAAAAAAATATTCTTAAAAAAATCCACGCCTCTTTTAGTCCTTAAAAAAATATTCTTTAAAAAATCCACGCCTCTTTTAGTCCTTAAAAAAATATTCTTTAAAAAATCCACGCCTCTTTTAGTCCTTAAAAAAATATTCTTTAAAAAATCCACGCCTCTTTTAGTCCTTAAAAAAATATTCTTTAAAAAATCCACGCCTCTTTTAGTCCTTAAAAAAATATTCTTTAAAAAATCCACGCCTCTTTTAGTCCTTAAAAAAATATTCTTTAAAAAATCCACGCCTCTTTTAGTCCTTAAAAAAATATTCTTTAAAAAATCCACGCCTCTTTTAGTCCTTAAAAAAATATTCTTTAAAAAATCCACGCCTCTTTTAGTCCTTAAAAAAATATTCTTTAAAAAATCCACGCCTCTTTTAGTCCTTAAAAAAATATTCTTTAAAAAATCCACGCCTCTTTTAGTCCTTAAAAAAATATTCTTTAAAAAATCCACGCCTCTTTTAGTCCTTAAAAAAATATTCTTTAAAAAATCCACGCCTCTTTTAGTCCTTAAAAAAATATTCTTTAAAAAATCCACGCCTCTTTTAGTCCTTAAAAAAATATTCTTTAAAAAATCCACGCCTCTTTTAGTCCTTAAAAAAATATTCTTTAAAAAATCCACGCCTCTTTTAGTCCTTAAAAAAATATTCTTTAAAAAATCCACGCCTCTTTTAGTCCTTAAAAAAATATTCTTTAAAAAATCCACGCCTCTTTTCCTTAAAAAAATATTCTTTAAAAAATCCACGCCTCTTTTAGTCCTTAAAAAAATATTCTTTAAAAAATCCACGCCTCTGGATATTCCTTAAAAAAATATTCTTTAAAAAATCCACGCCTCTTTTAGTCCTTAAAAAAAAAATATTCTTTAAAAAGTTTACGCCTTGGTTAGGCCTTAAAAAAATATTCTTTAAAAAATCCACGCCTCTTTTAGTCCTTAAAAAAATATTCTTTAAAAAATCCACGCCTCTTTTAGTCCTTAAAAAAATATTCTTTAAAAAATCCACGCCTCTTTTAGTCCTTAAAAAAATATTCTTTAAAAAATCCACGCCTCTTTTAGTCCTTAAAAAAATATTCTTTAAAAAATCCACGCCTCTTTTAGTCCTTAAAAAAATATTCTTTAAAAAATCCACGCCTCTTTTAGTCCTTAAAAAAATATTCTTTAAAAAATCCACGCCTCTTTTAGTCCTTAAAAAAATATTCTTTAAAAAATCCACGCCTCTTTTAGTCCTTAAAAAAATATTCTTTAAAAAATCCACGCCTCTTTTAGTCCTTAAAAAAATATTCTTTAAAAAATCCACGCCTCTTTTAGTCCTTAAAAAATATTATTTAAAAAATCCACGCCTCTTATAGTCCTCGAAAAAAATATTCTTTAAAAAATCCACGCCTCTTATAGTCCTCGAAAAAAATATTCTTTAAAAAATCCACCCTTCATGGGGTCCTTGAAAAAAATACACAACTTGACTTACCTATTGATTGCATAGCCTTTTTGAGCAGCATTTCCGATTGCGACTTATCCAGGGAATCAATTTCGCGACAGGAACGATACAAATTCGATATCATGGATTCAACGGAATATGAACCCGTTGAGGCTGGCAGCATTGAAATGAAACGATTTAATTCATTGAGTTCTGCAAAATAAAAAAGAAACCAATTACAACTCACCGCTCAAAAGCCTGTCTCTTTTCTTTCCTCTCTCTCTCTTTCTCCTCCCTACTTACCTTGATATTCATTAAAAGTCTTATAATTCCATTCCCCCTTCTTTATGACATAAAAATCATTTTCACTATATTCACGATCGAAGTTTCCACAGGCCCAATCATAAGTCTCATGGCAGGGGGACTTTGATGTATTCGACCACAGCAGTATTTGACGACTAGCCTCCACACATTCCTTTTCTAAACATAATTCAGCCTTCAAATAGAATGGCACTTCGGGCCAGAATGCAATCATCATGATGATAATGATCAGCAGGGTGGCACACAGGCAAGCAGTGGTGATATACAAAATACGGCGTTTGCGCGATAAACTCTTGAGGGCATCAAAGGAACGTCGACCTGGAAGTAAAAATGCTACACCAACCACACGCAACACAACGACGAGCACAACAAAACAAATGTTCATGAATTAATGCAATGACAAATGTGGAATATTTACAAAATGTGAATGACATGTGAAATGACAGCGAGAAAGTCGAACATACCTCGGAATCCATTCATAGACCCCAGTCCTCCTGAAATGGGTGTCTCCGCCTGTGCCTCATTTTCCTGTTGAGCATTTTGTGCCTCCAAGTCTTTAGCCGCCACATTTGGATCAATATTCAATTTTAATTGATTGGTGGTCAGAGGTGCCGTTTCACTGCCCTCAATCTGTTGCTTGGCATCATCCATTTTCAGGTTACGATCATCAACTTCATCAATCGATGCAATACTGGGACGATATTTTTGTGGAGTTATGGACATTTTTTTCTTTTCTTGTTGTTATAAATTTTCAAGGCGTTATTGTTATAATTTGTTGAACATTATAGTGTTGGAATTCTGAAATAGGAAAATAAAAAAATGTGTTCAATAAGTATTTGGAATTGTTGTAGAAATTATCGAAATAATATAATGGTAATAATTATATTATATAATTTAACGGTTGGAGTAGAAGAAGAAGTTCAAATAAAAAAAATATTCCTTAAAAAATCGACGCCTCTTAAAGTCCTTGAAAAAAAAAAATCTTTTTAAAAAATTCACACCTCTTAAAGTAAAAACAAGTGGAAAAGCATTAAGTTCGGCCGGGCCGAACTTTGGATACCCTCCTCCATAGATATAATGACAGGTACTTGAAATAAAAATATAGAGAACATACCAAAAAGTGTACCTATACCGACATTTCTACAAACCGATTATGGTTCTAAAAATTGGTCCTAGACCCCATGTTTCTTTGGACCAAATTTGTTTCAAAAAATT